GTCTGGAACCAAACAGGACCGGGTCTGGAACCAAACAGGACCGGGTCTGGAGCCAAACAGGACTGGATCTGGAGCCAAACAGGACCAGGTCTGGAACCAGGACAGAGTCTGGAACCAAACAGGACCGGGTCTGGAGCCAAACAGGACCGGGTCTGGAGCCAAACAGGACCGGGTTTGTCCACTTGTTTCATCAGAACCCCCTCGTGTTCCACGGGGAGACTTATTTCCATTCTGAGCGCGTTTGTTTGTTTCCTGCTACAAACGTCAGATCAGGATGTTCCAGATGGAGCCACGAGTTCTCATGAGTTTTTATTGCATCATCAAGTTGACCTCTGACCTGGACAGAACTACAAACCCATTTCCTCTGGGCTCCTCCTCCTCGTCGTCTCACCTTGTCTCGCTCTTTTTCTTTCAGTTTGTCCATGGACCTCTTCAGTCCCTCCTCCAGCAGGTCCATCAGCCTCACCGTGTCTCCAGACCGAGTCTTAAACTTCTTCCTGAGCAGGAAACACAAAATAAATAAATATATATAATAAATAAACACTCGATCCAGAAACGAGAACCAACTCCAAGACAAGCAGCTGGTTCTAACGAGGCCAGAACCAAACAGAACTTCATGATCAGAAGCTACTGGATCACTCGTTGCTGCAGTGAGCTCTTAATGTCTCGGGAACAGAAGCAGCGGGAGAAATTCCTGATGGAGTCTGGTGCAGCGAACGCATCACGGGACCGATGTCTGCCCCTCCCCTCAGTTGACCACCGGGCTTTTAGCAGAACCCGGTTCTTGTTGATCAGAGGAGCAGAGATCGTCTGAAGACGAGAAGGGGGTCTCTGCAGACCAAAAGTGGGCGTTTCTGGCGAATAGGCGTTTGTCGGCGGCGAACACTGATTGGCTGTGGGTAACCCTCAAAGTCACGAGTCATTGATGAGGTAACGTTTCTTTGCGATGTTTGACAAAGAAATATGGTTTATTGTACTTATAAAGTATGTTATGTTTTCACTTATGCATTTTATTGAAGTACGTTTATTGTAGGTCACGATAGTTTCGACCGTTCTCTCGTTGTTGTCGTAACGCACTGAGGTAAAGTGAGCCTCCACTCGGCTCCTTTTCAAAATAAAAGCTGAAAATAAAAGTTCTTAATACTTGAAAAATAAATATTTAAAAGCTGTGTATAACTGAAAAATATGAAAAAAATAAAACAAAAGTTGTTATTAGCTGAAAAATAAATAAATAAAAGCTGCTAATTATATCTATGTCTTTCTGCCATGTCAGGGACCACTCTCACTTCAGACTGACTCTAGAAGACCCCAAGATGTTGCCCAACAATGTTGACCAACATCTGATGTTGACTTTCATTACTCAATAATGAGTAATAACTTATTCAATAAAAAGTCTGTAATTTGTCAATAATAGTCAATAATTCATTCAAGAATAGATTATGGGTGTTTGGTATGGCTCAGTGGCTAAAATGGGTTGGGTGTTAGAGAAATTACTTAATTTTCAATTACCTGAATGTACAAATTCCTTCATTTATAGTTAAACTTTAGGAAATCAACTTTTTTTTTCTTGTGAAAAAAATATCAAAATTAACTTTAAAATCCAATCCAGGATTAAGTAACAACTAGCAACACCCTAACTGTACTATGTTCTGTGTTTCCAACAGATGCTACGATGACTTCTAGAAATGGATGTCCCAATAAACACAATAAAAAAATTCAATGATGCATCAAATGTTGTCTGAGTATGTTTTAAGGTAATAACAAATGTGAAATCTGGAAAACAAAGATAATTCCTGAATCTGTCTTGTGTGCTTTGATGTGTACATAAGTTTATTGGAGGTCCTGAAACAACTTTTCTGAGAACGCAAAGATTTTTATTTTACCTTTGGCCAAGATGTCAGTTTGAAATCAGGCTGCTTACTGCAAAACCAAGAGGTTTTTTAAGACGGTCTTCATTTGTATTGTTTTGTCGACTATAAGCTAAATGTAATTTCTAAAATATGGATAAATCTGATCTCATCATGCAGCATGAGCAACTGGGTATAGGTGTGAGGGCCAAAAGTCTGGTTATGTACTGACTCCTAAATGTGCTGGTTTTCTACTGAAACATGGAGTAGGGTTGACCTTTAAAATGTGAGACAGCTGAGGAAGTTAACCAGTAAACAGAAATACCTGCTCCAGTTGCAGAAATCTTACAGAAACTGACAATCACTCATCTGTAGTGACTGCAGGTTGAACAAGACAATGTGAAGTTAAAGGAAACGTTCTTTGTCCCAAGGCCAGTTTAAGTATCATTAATATTTTTCTTTCTTTATGAATCGATTGTAACTTTGTTCACATTTTTCAACAACCAAAATGGAATTTGTTTTTTAATGTTATGGCTAGGTATTAAAAAAAACCCTAACATTTAGCTCTCCCCACTACCCAGTTATGTTGCTCTTATTTTGAAATGTAACCGGAAGTTCTGTGTTAAGAGAGTCGAAAAAAGAAGTTATGGAGACGCCGCGGCAGTATACTGGAGCAATGTCGAACCGAGACGCCGCTAATGTCGAACCGGTTAACACCATAGACATAATATGCCTGTGGTTAACACAATCTGCCAATAACGCCTTGTTTTTAGACATCATGTGTCTGTGGTTACGGCATTTTATCGTTCAGCCTTTTTTTTTCTATCGTCCAATCAGATGTGGCCGTCCAGACACGCCCATTTTTCTATTGTCCAATCAGATGTGGCCGTCCAGACACGCCCATTTTTCTATCGTCCAATCAGATGCGGCCGGCTAGAAACGCCCATTTTCCTATCGTCCAATCAGATATGACCGCCCAGATACGCCCACTTTCCTATAGTCCAATCAGATATGAGCGCCCAGATACGCCTTCCGAATTTGCCTGCAGAGACCCCTTCTTGCTGAAGACGGTGCTGCCACAGAAACTGGTCAGAAAACTACCGAAGTAATTACAGCAGAAAGTCTGAAACAAACTGCCGCCTAACGAGGAAAACACCAGAAAATGTTCAGCTGCTCTGAAAAACACAAAACTAAAAGTATTTAAAAATAAAAATTATTTTCTGAACAGAAACAATAAAAAGGAAACCAAGACGTGACGCTGAGAACTGAAGTGCGTTGAAGCTGAAACAGCTATTTAATTCAAAAAGCTACATATTAGCTAAACGCTAAATGTAGCAAACTGCTAGCTTAAAGAGGAAAACCATTAGGTAGAAGCTAAAGGAAAAAAAGGCTAGCCGAAAGCTGTAAAACGTTAGCCGCAAGCAGCAAAACACTAAACAAAGTCGTGCAGAAAGCTAGCTAACGGTAGCAAAAGACTTAAAAAACCTGAGGTAGCAAAGGGTTGGCTAAAATCTTAAAGTAGTAAAAATGGAGCGAAAACTCATATTTCCTTAATTTTAGTGCCTAATAACAGTGCCTAAATATATAAAAAACAACAAAAGGGGAGTTAAAAATAACAAGAGGCAGTTACTGAGTAGCTAAAGGTTGTAGAATGATAGCTAAAAGTGAAAAGAAGCAAAACATTACCTGAAAATTAAATGTAGTGAGAGGCTAACTAAAAGTAGCAGAAGGATAGCTAAAAGCTCAAGTTGTATAAGGCTAACGAGAAACTAAAAGTAGAGTGGTAGCTAAAAGCAAAAAGGTTAAAAACTATAAAAATGAAAGCCTAGCTAAAAGTAGCTAAACTTATTTTTAAATTACACACTAAAATCATGAACAGCCTAGCAAACAGCAGCAAATGTTTTGGGCTACTCTTCATTTGGCTTTTGTTATATTTGATAGTTTTAGCCATGTTTTTGGTACCAAAAACGTGGCTAAAAGCTAAAAAAGATAAGAGCAAAAAGATAAAAGCTGCAAAAGGTAGCTAAAAACTCAAATTCTTGTAACACCAACTTACTAAAAACATGTTTTTTATTTTTGATTTTGACATTTCTTTAAATGTGATTTTCTGGGCAGAAATAATTTGAAGGTAATCACTGAACTAAACTTTGAACATCAGGATAAAAAAAGCTAAACGGATTCTTTGAGAACTCAACGAGCTGCATCGTTCCCGTCCTGTTGTTACATTTCTGGTAATGTTCCGTTTTATTCGGCTCACACGAGTGAGCAGACTCAGAGACACAAATCAAATAAGAGGCTGAAAACTTAGCAAGCAGGCATCAAGCTGTTATTGTCAGGCAGAGAGAAGAAAACAAAAATTGCAGAGAAAACCAATTAAAATTTAACCAGCAGAGCTTTAAAAACTCACAGCTGAACAGCAGCTGCAGGTCATACAAATGACTATAAATACAGAAAAGTTAAACTGATCAGTAAATAAAGTTTAAGACTAATGAGGACATCCAAAGTTTCCAAAACTCTGGATCTTTTATTTTGAAGAAACCAATGAACTGATCTTTGTCAAGATTTAAACTGTTTAACCGACTGCTTCTGACTCCATCTTCAGTCTGTGGGTAAAACACATCTGTCCATCAATAAAAGCTGAATTAGAATCTACAACAGTAGCATTAGCATGATCAGAATAAGTATTAGTTAATAAGCTTCAAGTGTAGTAAGAATAAAAGTAGCCAAACTAGCATTAGCAGAAGTGTTATAAGCAATAATAGCATTAGCAGTAATAGCATTAAGAGTAGCATTAGCAGCAGTAGTAGCATTAGGAGCAGTAGCATTAGCAGCAGTAGTAGCATTAGCAGCAGTAGCATTAGTAGCAGTAGTAGCATGAGCAGCAGTAGCATTAGGAGCAGTAGCATTAGGAGCAGTAGCATTAG